AAGCGTAATGAATAGGCCAGCTGTGTGGGCTGTGGATCAGTTATTCTCTCTTTAAACTTAGTGTACTGTCAGCGCTTTGCAGCAACTACAGGGTGTTCTAGTAGGAATGGACCAGGAAGTATAATTAATATCATAGATATATAACCAAGAATTAATATAGCCGGATTGGTTTGCATTCGAGCTGCAAACTACATCGCAACGACAAAGCCGTCGCGTGGCAAGAAAATTAAAGACATTTAGGAAAAGGTGGTGAAATTGAAATTATTTCAGTCGTTCACTGCTCCTCGCATATAAATGTAGGTATAGAATTTTGGTATGAATTTAAAAAAATATAATTGTAGTTCTTTTTTTATTTTACCAAAATTTTTTGGGGGTTGCGCAAACCTGCATACCTAAGGAAGAGCCGCCACTGCTATGTGAACGATCCTCAAAACCATCCGTAACAGCTACATAGAGATCACATATTGCGTTAACTGTTGATTTGTTTGGCCTGTAACCGAATTGATTTTGGCTTAGCAACTTGTTGCTTTCAAAAAAAATTCTTAATTCGTTGTTTTAACACTATTTCAAAAATTTTGCTTACTATTGGTATAATTGAGATAGGTCTGTAAGCAGATGGTAGATTCATGCCCCCTTATTTGAAAACGGGTAACTCGTGATATACTTTAAATGTATCTGGAAAAATTCCAGATTTCATGCACAAATTAATTAGGTTAGCAATGGGAGTGTCTAAAATATCAACAATTGATTTCAACAAAACTGCACTCAATCCATAATATGGGTCCTCTACTTCTCTTGTATTTTATCAATGATGTCACTGATTATATTGCTTGTTCCAAATTGTTATTTGCAGATGCTTTAAAAGTATTTCTTGAAATTTCTGATATACATGATTGTTTATTCCTTCAAGAACAATTAAATAATTTACATGATTGGAGTATGCGCAATAAATTGTTTCTCAACATACGAAAATGCAAAGCTTAAGTTTTAGTAGAAAAGTCATCCTAACAAATTTTAACTATACCATTAATAAGGAAGAACTGGTCAGGTGTGATCAAACTAAAGATCTAGGTGTTATATTTGATTCGGAGCTAACTTTTAATGTACCGTCAAACGGGGTGAATCGGGACGATTTTTAGATATTATTATTAATATTTTCTTCTAAAACTATCGAAGAAAATTAAAATTTAGGGGAAAGTGATCGTAGTCAATACGGCTGCTGAAATATGTATTGGATAATTATCTGATTTGAATAAATTAATTAAAAAAATATATAATATGGTGTGTCCCAATTGACCCCGTTTTGGGGCGAATCGGGACACGCTATTTCAAGACATGCAATGTGCATGTCGCCTCGAGTATGGGGTTAATCGGGACAAAAATAAATTAAAATATTTTTTATTTATTTTTTAATATAAAAGGTAAAAAAAACAACAATGAAATTTGGAAATAGCCTTTATTTTATAGTTTTAAAGTGCATAGGATTTTAGCTTCATTTGCAAAGGAAATTCGTAGCCTCCTCGTCGCAATTTAGTTGGTTTAGGCAGTTTTTTCACAATTTGTTCCAAGCTAATCATGCATAGGTATGTCATCCACTGTGGGAAAGATATAGCAATTTTTTATCTTTCTGTTAGGTCTAAGAAATTTAACTTCAAAAGTTTCATCAAAGATTCCCTTAATTTGCCCGATGAAATATTTGTTCACTTTGTTTAAAATTCAACCTCTACAAAGTTGTCAGTTGCGATGTTTTCCATAGTAGGCTGCACATCTTCAAAGCACTCTTCCTGTTCCATTATTTCTAATTCCGATTCTGACTCAAGTTCCGAAGTTTCATTCTCTTGAGGCACTACAGTATTGCTTGTTGACGGTTGCGGTTCTAAAAAATCTGTTGTTGAAACGCTTTTGCCTGGCTCCACTTGAATTTTCTTTTTCCTTGCTACTGTTGGTTTGCAAGCATTCCTGCTTTCGTCCATGCATTAGGATCGTCCTCTTCGAGATTTCTTTCTTGTGGCAATCGTTTTAAAACCTGAGTCCTATCAAGTGGAATAATTCCCGTCCCACGAAATCCGCTTTTAATATTCTGACTTAGAGTCCCTCCTAATTTGTCTATAGCACGTTTTAGTAAACTCGGAAAATAGTCCTTCGGCAAAGAACCCTTGTATTCTTTTTTCCAATCTTGTAGAGTTGACCTCAAAACCTTTTTCATTGGGCCAAAAACAGGGACGTCAAGTGGCTGTGTTAAATGGGTTGAATTCGGCGGCAAAAAACAGAACCTAATATCATTTTCTTCGCACAATTCAATAACTCTGAGCGACAGATGACTACATAAGTTATCGCCAATGATTACCCTTGGTGCCGAACGTCTTTTCAAGAACGGTAGAGCAATAGAAATAAACCATTCTTCAAATAATGGCTGGTCGAACCAGCAACTTTTATTTCGTCCATAGCGCGCACCTTTTGGTCCATTTGTCAACCAGGTATCGTAAAGATGCTCGCTCCTATAGACTAGAAATGGGGGTAATAGCTGGCCATCACCACTTACGGCAAACATTACTGATGTCGATGTTTTTGTTGAATCGATTATGCGTTCTGGATGTCTTGTTTTTCTTTTTACGATGACTTTTTTCCGTCCGTTATCATCTACAAAGCAAGTTTCATCATAGTTGATGATGGATTCAGTTTCAACGTTTTGTAAGTTTTCTTGGAGGTGGTCAAAATATTTATTTATTATTTCCCGAGACACTGCTGCCCGAGCTCGTTTAATATTTTCACACAGTCTTTCAGTGAGTGATTCTTTATGACGCAAACAAAACAAATTCGCCCAATCAACACCGGGCATATTATTATTAAATTTTGCCACTCTTATTCCTTTTCTATCAAGATATGCCTTAACGATGTATCGAATATCAATTTTTTCCAACGGGTATCCCCACTCTCCCGCCAATACTATCAAATGCACTAGCCTACTTTCCTCACCTTCTGATAAAATAGTTTGCCCACCATGTTTCTTTGGCTTCTGTTTAGCATGTCGTTGTAGCGTCGATCTTGGTATATTATATACCTAACTCTTCTGCTTCTCGAAGGGTTATTTGGCCTCTTCTAAATTGCCTCAAAGCCGTTTCAAGCTGCTCTTTACTATAATTTTGGTAAAACCTAGTCCCAGGCGTTCTTTTGTATTTTCGAACCATCGTCCCGATTCACCCCTAGAAGTGATTTGTTTTTTTCATTAATTAATAATAAAAAAACTTTACAAAATAATTTATTCAAAGACTACTTAACATCTAGAAAATACCTACAGGTATACTATATTAACAATGCAATACTCAATAAATACCTTTTTCAAACGAAGTTTTCAGCCGGTTTTAAAAACGTAAAATTATACTGCAATATTTTGACACCTGTACCAATGAAGCGTTGCGAATTAACTGACGGCGACATACGAAGGTCAAACGATTGTGGTTTCTGCAATAGGCTTTTCATATTACCCGTCCTAAAAACATTGGCTACAAGCATAAAAATCACGTGTTTGTAAATAAACGTCATACTGTCCCGATTGACCCCTTAGTCCTGATTCACCCCGTTTGACGGTAATACTATCACGAAATCTACAAATAAAATGTTAAGATTTTTATTTCGTAATTGTCAAAAGTTTAGAACTGAAGCTGCCTTAAAGTCACTGTATTTTTCATTAGTTCGTTCCAAGTTGGAATATACTTCTTTGATTTGGTATCCGAAGACAGATTTGCAGACGAACAACATTGAACGGATGCAACGCAAATTCTTAAAGTTTTTAAATTACAAGGTTAGGGGCATCTACCCCCCCCCCCACGGATTTCATGAAAATGTGTGTTGCGTAATAGATATAATGTACAATCCTTTGAAAATAGAAGAAAATTAATGTCAATTTCTACAATTCATAAAATACTTCATAATAATTGTTTTATTCTACTCGAAGGACCTGGCTTTTTAGTAACACGACAAAATGCACGGACATCCAACACGTTTTCTCTTCCAATTCCCAGGACCAACCTGCTAATATATACCTGCAACAATATCTATTATGTGTCAAAATGTTAATATTTTATGTTTGAATTGGGATATATTTTTTGAGAAACTTGCACATGTTTTGCGCAGAGTCAATCTCAATTTAGAATTTTAATATTTACTTTTAGCTTTAAATATATTTTGTTATTATTAGTTATTACTATCTTAGTACTTATCAATATTTACCGTTAAAAATCTATTAATGTTATATTTTGCCCTATCTTTGGATATTATATTTGTTTATTTATTTATTATTAATATTATTTATAATGTGTTGCCTACGTTAATTATGAAAAACGAAGTAAATATTCAAAGTCAATGTTAACTTGGATAATAAAACAAAAAACATCAAACTACGTGCAACTAACTTGTAAATCATTTATTAAAAATAAATATTATTATATTATATCTAATTTATATTAGGCGAGCAACAAAGCTATCAGGTTTTCCGCTCGGCGAGCGAGAAAGCTGTCACTTAATGTCAGTTCGCAGAAAACGTCAATGGTTGTATTTCGAAGCACAGAAGCCTACTTTGGATGGTGATTTTACAAAAATTATATTTTACATAATGTCTTACACTAATTCCGAAGCGTATGACATGCGAATTCGACAGTCAAGAGAATCATTTAAAAATCTGGCAAATCGTTGTATTTATTTTTTTTTTTTCAAAACGCCGGATAAATAGTTTCTGAGATACAGCCGCTAAGACTCCTTAATCAGACATGTTCAAGAATCGGAAAACTAAATATTTTTTATTTAAATAAAAAATTCCTTGGTTTTTTCGAAGTTTTAATTTTTTATAATTTAAGCACTGCAATGTTTCGGAAAATACAATTTTTCCATCATCTGGTGCGGTCAATTTATAAAAAGTATGGGGACGAATACAGTTTAAAAATTTATTTTTAAAACCCCATCCTTCTATTTCACATCGTGTGAAGGTATATTTTTTATTTTAGAGCTATTCAAGACCAAATGAAAGTACACGATGCGGAGCCTGTATCTTTTCAAGATGTTAAAGATGAATTATTTGATATGGTACGTCCAAAACATCCAGAAGCAATTACTCTTCCTGATCTCTTGGCTTGTGGCCAGGGAGAGACATTTGTCAGTATTTTGATAGAATTTCATGGATTTTGGGCATATGAAAATCGTGAAGCTGTATCATCTGAACCTTCTCAGGATTAATGTGATCTATACATTTTTACAAGACTGCTATTTTTACTTTTTTTTTTTTGTTAAAGAGTGCTTTTTAATATCAACAAAGAAAAATATTTTTTCATCTACCTGAAAGGAACGCCTTAAATAATTGTTGGTGTTATTTATTAATAACAAATGAAAATGAACAAATTTTGATATATTATTATTTTTATATGTTGTGATATTTAAGTAATAAAAAATAAAAAGATTAGATTGTAAATAAATTTTCATATTTTAACTAATTATTATTAATTTACCTGATACCTAAGAATGAGTAAAAAAGTAAAATAAATTGTAATCGAATTTCATTTTGTGTCATGAACATTTGTTAAATCCAAAGCCCTTGTTTCTAGATGTTTTAAATTTTTTTCATCCAAGAAGTTAATTATTCACACATCACACTCTAAATTGTTTTATACATTCTAGTGACGAGATCTCAATTAGGTAATCCAAATTACGTCACAAAAACACTTCTAGTAAGGTCTAAAAACACCAAAAGGTGCTAAAATTCCACAAATACAATTTTTAAATCGAATTTAAACTTGGGATAAAATGCTCAATCGTCAGAAGGGTACAATAAATATCAAGAAAGGTTTTGAATTATGTTTTGATGTTTGAGCATCCACTAAAATGGTTATGAGCACCTCAATGATGGTGAAAATTCTAAAAAGACAATAGAAAGCACACAAAAAATAAATGCACCAGAAAAATAGTATAAAAGAGGGTTATCTAAGCCCTTTTTTTATCTTTATTGTGCCCTTTTTGTCATTGTTTTTTGCATAACTACGGCTTACTCAGAAAGAGATTCCAGTGGACGATCAATCGTGCGGGTACATTTGTATTTTTCAACGGTTCGTGATGAGCTGAATCTCCTACCACCCGACGATTATTAACATGTTCAATCCTTCTAAAACTTTAACCTAAATTCAAATCTTTTCTTGGGGAGGATAATGCTCATACCGTATTCTCGTGGTTCTCGTAACAGTTTTTAAAATTAATATCTTGTTATATAAATTGTCAATCAAATTAAGCATAATTATGGGGTACGGTCGACTTTAGGTCCAGTAAAATTTTAAAGAAATTATTTTTTATCAGAAAGAGCGTATTTTAAATAGTACATTTAAAAAAAAATTGCGGTAAATGCATTATTTAAGCCAAAAAAAAAATTTCATCTCTATAAAAATCAGCATTTTGACGACTGTAAACAAGTCTTGCCGTTGCGGACATTCGGTAGTTGCAGGGATGTTAGGGTTACATTAAAAGTTCATCGCATGTGAGCTTAAAGAGCCTAAAATTGCAGCTTATTAACGTAGATGGGATGTTTTTGTGCTAGCTGGGGAAGAGTGTCGGCTTCGCCGCCACCAAAAAACATCGACCCATACCTGGCTACGCCGACCGGCATAGACTCCAACGGCCTGGACACAGTTCAAATTGAATAATTGAAATGAAAAGTCTCATATAAACACATTAATATTCTGGTTTTATCATTTGGCTTGGAGCTATTGAAAAAACAGCCACTGTCATTCCTGTTATGTAAATTCTTTTACTATGTTTGACAACTCCACATTTATAGAAATAAAAATATCAGTTGTCATATTATTCATAAAAAATAATATAGAACGGCATTACCATGAATATATTTATTTGTAACAAATAACAAAAAGCAATTGGCAACATCGCTAAAATCACGCACAGGCGCTCTTAGTGTGACTGTCAAATCGAAAAAATTAAAAACAATATGACTACGTGAGAATGTAGTGAATAAATGCATATTCTTAATTTTTTAGCTTACAAATGTGTTTTAATAATATTTGTTACTTTAATTAGGTTAGTGCACACTTATAGAAGATTAAAAAGTGTAAAATTATTATGGTTTTACTTAATCTTTATGGAAAAAGTGACAAAATTACTGGACCTAATATCGACCGTAGCCTAATAATTATGTATTAGGGTAATAATACATTGCGACCTAAAATATATATTCTGCCATCTTCTGTCGCTAATGCAGCAAAGGAATAAATAGTCTCAATGCCTATAACGACCCTTTCAATCCTATTTTCTCTATTTGGTATGCTTCGGAGTATGTGCCCTTCGATCCTGGAGTGGTACACATTCAGTTAGAATTTGAATGAAGGTTTGGTCCTCCTCACAGAATCAGCACTCATTATATTCTACTACTCTCAGTTTACGAGTTTACTAAGGTGTTCTTTAAGTCGGCAATGCCCGGTAAGGATCCCTCTGTACAAGGCGTAGCTTGTTCTTGCTCATACTGTCTATCGTTTCTGGTTATAGTCACCCAGAAGTATCTTAGCCTGTCTTCCAATCGTTCCAATTATCGGTTCTTTTACTGCCCAATTCTTTTGTGTACTCTGCAAAAAATACTGTTGAAACTATTATTGCTAAAGCTGAACATTGGTTCTTGGTTAATAATCTCATGTTAAATTAAAATAAATCTCCGGAATTGCAGTTACGAGCAGTTACCGATTCTCTAGCTTTCAATAGTGCTAAGTTACTTGGAATAATGTTGGATAGTAATTTAACTTTGAGAATTTATATAAAATTAAAACCTAAATTATGCAGTACTTTATGTGTTGAGGCAGCCTAAAACTAACTATAACAGATCGTAACATATTAAGAATGGTTTACTTTTACCTATTCCATTCCCACATAAATTAGGCCACGCACTTTGGGGTAACAGTTCAGATGCAATTTTGATTTTTCGGTTACAGCAGAAAGCTGTTGGAATCATAAATGATTCCAAATTTAGAGAACATTGTCAGCCCTTGTTTATTAAGCAAGGAATAATGCTTCTACCAACTATTTATATATTTAGTATCCTTACAGAAATTCATAAAAAAATATGTTTTTCTAGCACTTGCGATATTTATATCAAGCCAACTCTGTAACCAGAATATTCGAGAAGGTGTGGAATGTCCTAGACTTCCATCTCTATGACTCAACGTCACGTACCTACCGCTTGTTCTGGTATATTCGAGAGGCGTCTGATTGTCTCTACATTGCCAGCGCGCCACTAGACTCCATATCGCGGGAGTAAACAACGGACAGGGTAGACTTTCGCGCGACAGTATGTAGGTACATGGTTGTGAATTTTATGTTTTTAATTGTTAGGTATTTTAATATCCGCCCATGTCTAAATAAGCTGTTATTTTGATATGTACGTCGTTTGTGACTTGCAACAAACATTTTGCACTATGTAACGTAGTCAAATAAATTTACTTTATTTTTTTAATCTCTCCCAATATTGTAATATTGTCAATACCGCAAAATGGCTCAGGTCACACAAAGGGTATTTGAGCCACATTTATGGGGATAGATTGTTGACATACCCTCTGGTTGTGCAGATGGAGATGGTGTACTGACCTAATTGTATCTCTGCAGTTCTAGTAGATAACAGCTGAGCCATCCATCTGAATGTGGTGCTGTCTTCTCCGTATTCGAGTACTCTTTTGACATATTTGTGTGGCGTGTTGTCAAACTTTCCTAGGTCTTTGTTTGTCAGTGCATCCTGAATTTTGTCCATTCAGCTGTACCAGAGCAGTTTCTTATATTCCTATATTTTTAAGATAAAGGATCTAAGGCTGATTGGCTGGAAAGATTTAGGATGTGTGGTATCCTTTTTCTCTACTTCTGGAATAAAGGTGATTCTTGACCCTTCTCCATGGTTCTGGCATATATTCAAGTTCCAGACTGCTCCGGGATATCCAGATTACATGGTAATAATTTCTCCTGTGCCCAAAGGGCAGGAAATAGGTACCCTATCTACACTTGGAAACTTTTAGGCTCAAAAGTGTTCACGGCCCACTTTAACCGATTTCTGCTGCATGTGTTTGGCCACTGCTTCGGGCTCTCTGAAGGGCCTGTTTACCTTAGTTGTGTCCCTTTTTATAAAATATGTTCTCCTAGGGGAGTATTGAGCTCTTTCTTCCTCACTCTTCGTAAAGCTTCCATTTGTTTTCTTTAGAGCCATAGCTGTTATTCACTCTCCCTTTGGCCAGGGCCTTGTGCAGTCTCGCTGCTGCAGATGTAGAGTTAATTTCCTCGCAGATTTTTTAAAGCTGTTATGTTTAGCTTTCCTGATTTCTATGTTATAGGTGGTATCTCGGTGTAGCTCTGCCAATCTCCGCTGTGGTTGGCCCAGTTTTCGCACTTTAGATCTTAAGTTTGCGACAGATGACTATTCCACCAAGGATCGTCCCTATTCGTTTGAATGGGGCAGCTTGATTCATATGCCATAAGTATTGCCTCATTCAGTTCTTCGAGATTACTTTCCAGAGCTAGAGGGCCCCTTTTTGGTCTGGATACGTGCTAAATTTTGTTTTTGTCTTTTTACACTGTACACTTGCCCAAGCAAAATGATTTGGCCCCTTTAGTTCACCTGTTTAATAATATTTGGGATCTTTGCCCTTTAAGCCTGTGTATATTTAGACCCATTATCTTTTTGATCCTAATAGGCTATATTAGTCATGGCGTAATTTGTGTACCAATGACAGTGACTAAAAATGGAGGTTATATAAGTATTCATTAACATTTAATTTCTATTATTTTTAAGATTGAATTCATTTAAACATTAAATGAGTCGTTTATGGCCTATCTCCATTTATACTTAAATTGAGATACCTATCTAAGGGTTTGTGTAAATGTTGTTTAACTGCATTAATTACGTACTGATTGTGATTATTCAACTAATGCAATTAAAGACACTGATGCAAAAAGGAGGCAGCTCCATTTTTATAATGGAATATACTAATAAAAAGATTGTTGCAAGAACGAGGCAGCTCTGTTGATTTATACAGGGGTTACACGGAATATATTTTTGTCCCCTACTTCAGTTTCGTGCAAAAAGGAGACTGAGGGCCCCTCAACTTATTTTAAAATGATATACTTTAACTAAATTATTTATAAGTGTGAAATTTTGATCCAGTATTGTATTCTTTACTAAACTACATCATAATGTTTACAAAAAAATTTTAAATAAATATTCTTGAATTTAAATTGTTTTTATCTTCTCCTGAAAAATTAATAAAAACGGAGCTACCCCCTTTTTGCCCAAGTGTCTTCAATTGTCCAAAAATTGAGGTTAACTTGTTAAATACTAATTAATTAAAATTACCTTCATAACTGCCTTC